GCACCCCCTGGTCCACACAAAAATAACCAGGATTTCAACCAACACAACAGAGATTTGGAGGCTGGCACGGCCGAAGCCGCACCTAGGCGTGCCGCCAACGCCTGGCTCGGATCCCACACTGCGATGGGAGTGCCATAAAAACCACATTAAAAAGGAGCCATTGCAGCCTGACTCTCAGACCGCCTCCAGTCAAGGAGGAGGTCCAAGTTACCCCGTGAGTTGGCAACCCTCCAAGCCACGGCTTTTAGCGCACCGTGATAGCTTCAAGCGCGTCAGATTGTTTATAGTGAGGAGGAAGTGCGCTGAGTCGTTGACCTCACTCTCCCTTCCCACTCCCACACCCCATCCGCTGTCCGAGCCGGTCAGCGGACTGGAGTGGGGAATGGGCGCGGTGGCTGTCATGGTCGACTGACCATGACTGCGCGCGCCACGGCACGACCTGGCCCCCCATACACACAACACCAGGATTTCACACAACGGGGATTGAACGGCGTGTCTCCCACGTGCGTGAGAGGGCCGTGGAAGGTGCTGCATCAGCCCGTCCCCAGCCCACCAAACCGCCACTCCACACAACACACACACACACACAACGCGACGAACTGCGTGAAGCGAGAGCGGGCGTCAGTCAGCAACCTTCCTATCCACGACGCTTGACGTGTCGGGATAGTCTCGGACGCAAGTCACCCGTGCAGCCGAAGCCGCATGGGGACCGAGTTGAGATGCGGACTTCCCACTTGCGTGGGAGGTGGCAGTTGGGTGCATGAGGTGTGTGAGTGTTGATTTCTGGTGGGGTGATGGTGGTGGTGGTGGAGGAGGAGGTAGGGAGTGAGTGAATGTGTGGTGTGACCGGCGGTTGTCCACCGCAGGTCGTCGTGGATGCGCATGTGGCCGAATGGGCCCATGCGATGCCTGAAAGTGCGAGGACAGTGTGGGCAGTTGAGACGAGCTTGGTGGGTATAGGTGGGTGCTCCAGGCACTGGTTCTCCGATCTCTGTGCGATGGATTCACAAGTGACCGACCAGGCCGATGCGTGAGGTGAATGTGCGTGGACAGTGTGGGCATGAGAAGTCGGCGGTGTCAGTGTCAGCTACAGAGGAGGCGGTAGTGGTGGTGGTGGTGGTGGTGGCGCAGACGGATGGAGCGAGGGTAGGTGTGTGCAGGGGGAATGTGTTGGATGTGGTGGGTGTGTCGGGAGTGCGGTCAATGCCGCTCTCGTGGATGCGCATGTGGCCGAAAAGGCCCATGCGATGCCTGAAGGTGCGAGGGCAGTGTGGGCAGTGGAGGCGAGTGCGGCGGGACCCACACACACACACACACACACACACACACAGACACACACACACACAGTGGGATCAGATCGGGCGTGGTGGCATGCGTTAAATTGCGGGTTTTCGTGGTGTCAGCTACTTGTGCTCTCTTCCACCTGCGGTCTTCTTGACTCTGTCATGACAATAAACGCAGATGGGAAGAAAAGGAGAGAGTGCGGTAAATACTGCGACAGTCTACTATCCAAGTGAGCGGACTGTCACAACCCAGTCAGAATACAGTGAGCGACATGAAGGGGCTTTGCTGTGCAGAAAACAGTCTAACAACAGTGTGGAAAGGGTGAATAACGTCTTCTGTACGTGTTATAATGGAATTGAACAGGCGGGGACGTGAGGCGAAGCGTTAGGAGGAAGTGGAGTAGCATGGATAAGTGAACTAAGGAGGATGTGCGGAGTAACGTCCAGAACGGCAGTCTTTAGACGATCCATGCTCACAGTCTCCACCTGAGTACTCTTTCGGCGTATTAACGTGTGTCTCCCCCGGAGGCGACACAAAGTTAGGCCCTTCGAGATGGTCATCGTGACTGGCTCAATCAGGCACAACTGAAGAAAACATGAGTTTAGGTCTCCAAGTCCTTTTCCAGACATGACTTATAAATTTTCGGCCGGAGCGATACCGAGGAGTGCATTCATGTGGATGGACGGAGGCGCTTAATATTAATGGCATGGCCCATGATGTAACTTGAGGTTAGAAAAGTATTTCGTCAGAAAGTTGGACTGTAGCGTCGAACACCAATTCAATCGCGAACACTCCATATTCAGTTTAAACGGGTGAGATGATCGATAGAATCAGTAGAAGACGGCCGGTTCAGTTTTTCTGGCATGTATAGACGCCTTTATCTGGCGGTACAAACGTTTAAACATTCGGTTTGCCGCCGAAGGATAGTCTGTGATCCGAACCCAAATACAACCTTAAAAGTTAAGAACTCAGACGTGAGATCCAAACTGGATTCCACGATCCATCGTAGACTTAGAGAGATAGTTAATGCGATATGTACCTCCAAAAGGACACTAACTTCTGTTAGGCACAATAATCTATACATTGTCCGCTGTTGTTTCAAGTGCTTGCCAAAATTTCTACATTATCTGCTGTACTTGTACTGATTCAGAACATCCATTTAATCCATCAACTGTAGTCTTGTAAAAGGTGCACAAACCCATTCACTCACTAAGTTCTGAGTCAAACAAAATAAGGACGCATGTTTCGTCGCCTTTGCTTGTTCAAATGACAATGAATTTGAATAACTGAAACTGGGGCATTATAATACAACAAGTATAAACGCCGGCCGACTAGTCAAGATAAATTAAACCTATAAGGTACATCGCTATCAGTAAGTAGAGTGTGGAATGCGAGTTCGGTCGTATTTCACCGATGAGGTGGACCGGAAATGTTTGCTCGTCTCACTTGCCGGGGCATAGCCAAATGCCGCCTGACTCATGTGAAACAAAATGGCAGCTTCGGGGATAGATATGTACGGTCACATATTGCAATATGAGACAACTCACCGTAAGCCTACTACCAGCGGACGCTGAGTCGTTTGTTCTTACGCACGGACTTTTGATGACCTCGCTGCACACATGACAATTGTTTCAAGTTCCTTGATGCATTAGCCAAAAGCTTTTAACCATCCATTAGGTAAGTTCATGAGAAAAAAATATTTGAAATTTTGCTATCCGTCCTTTCGATCAAGACCGCTAAACCTATTTTTGAGATATCACCGAAAAGTACAGTTACTATCCACATCTTCTTATGAATCCTGAACTCTATAAATATCTACATAACTATCTAACCAAATAATTTTAAACACGAATTTATGCAAAAGAAACGCTCCATGTACGATACTGCATATTGCATATTTATAACAATATACTCCCTGACAATTATTACAGCGAAAATATCTTATTTCTTTTGAGATATTTTAAAATAAAGTGAATTGCAGATAGGTGTTTTCTATAAGAAATAATGAGGCAATTTCACCGATCTCCTATGATTTACGTTAATTGAAATCCATTGACATCGAAAATGCTGAGATGGCACACGCAGCCTCCTCAGAACAGTTGCCGGAACGGCACCCACAAATTTTATGCCATAAAGTAATTTTCAACACCTTAACAGTTTGAACGTCGATAACGACGATGTCCACCATATGCCCCACAGTAGGATGGATGCAGGGACGTTGCCACAAGCCTGCTGTATAATTGTAGAGGCTTAGCGAAACTTTAGCAAGGACACCCCTGATGAACTGTAAGTCGAATCAGTAGATGCATTTTTTCATTTGTATGTTGCTCAAAAGTTTTAACTGCTACTCTTATATAGCACACGACTTTATTTCAGGACAAACGCTCTCGCTGTGACCATGTTTATGGATGTCAAATTCATTCCCACGCTTTGTAGGTTCAACGGGGAACAGGAACAAGCAAATTCTGTACCCCTGAGACAAGTGTGCGCAGATAAAATGAGACATGACTTGTGACAGACGGATAAAACATATCCAAAAAGACCTTGAAGAAAACCAGCTTCAGAGTCAAGACAGGTTGAAGGAAGCAAAATCCAGTAGGCTGAACACTGTGGTAACTACAACTGCAGCCGCGTGCAAACGGTGGATATATGAGCTCCTGTATGAAGAAGAATAAGAGTCGAGCACCGGAACAATTCGTTTATTATCCTGAGCTTTCAGACTCGTACAGGAGTCCATCGTCAGAGGTAGTGGCAGAAACAGGACAAGCGGCCGTTATAAGGCACGTAGACCCAATCATCGACCGACGTCGCATGACTGGAGGTGACTACGAAGGGCTCTGTGCGCCGGCGCCAGATCGATAAATCGATTGACCGAGTTCTCATCCGAGGCCCAGGCTTCAATCAATTCTCGGCCTGTTTTGTTTCCGGCGTGGGCAACTATTTTGGTGGCTGCGAAGTCAAACTCGTGACCCATTTCGTAGGTGTGGGCGGCCACTTGTGATAATGCGTCGCCTCGCCGCACAGCCAGCTTATGTTCATGTATGCGCGATCCGAGCATGCGTCCAGTCTGTCCTGTGTAATTACAAGGACAATTTTTACACGGAATGCGATACACTACTCCAGACTGCTCTTCAGGTTTTAACTGGTCTTTGATCTTCATGACCCTGTTGCGCATGGTGGCTTTGGGGCGGTGTGCGATTCCAACCCCTAGCTCCGCAGCAATGCGCTCGGTCGCTTCTGAAACACCCTTGATGTATGGCAGAGAATGCCATATCGTCGGTGGCGTTGATGTTTGAGTTCTCTGGTGGCGGCCGCGTAGGCAGCGACTTATGAATGCCCTCGGATAGCCATTTTGCACAAACTGGTCGCGGAGACAACGGGTCTCACGCGCTCTATCTTCCAGTTTGCTGCAATGAGTTTGGATCCGTTTGAAGAGCGCCTTCACACAGCTTCGTTTGTGAGCCACCGGATGGTTGCTGTGAAAACTGAGAAGCTGTGTGGTGTTCGTTGCCTTCCTATAAACCGTCGTTTCAAGTTCACCGTTAAGGTTTCGTCTGACGAGCACATCAAGGAAGGACAACTGCTGCTCCTGTTCTTCTTCTCTCGTGAATTTTATATCCGGGAAGACTGCGTTGAGCAGGCTGTGAAAATGTTGCAGCATGTCCTTCTCTACGATGACGAACGTGTCGTCAACGTAACGTCGCCAAAACACCGGTTCATGTTGGAGGAAGGCAATCTTTTTCCAACTCCTGTAGGACCAGTTCTGCCACCAAACCGGAGACCGGTGAGCCCATTGGGGTTCCCTTGATTTGTTCATAGGTCTCTCCCGCAAAAGTGAAGAAAGTTTGTTGGCAGAATTCAAACAGCCTCATGAGGTGTTCAATTTTGAGGGCATTCTGAGTCTCATCGTACGCCTCTTCAAGTCTCTTGCGCAAGACTTCGCGGGCCACTTTTGGTGGGATAGATGTGAATAACGACGTCACATCGAAGGAGACCATGATTTCGTCCGATTGAATTCTCCGACCTCGGAGGTCTATGAGGAATTGAGAGGCTGATCGAACTGAGGTGGTCGAATTGCCTTGGAGGAACTTCAGTTTTGAGTACATCAACTTTGCCAAATTGTAGGTGGGGCTGCCTTTTAGGGCAACGATTGGCCGAAGTGGGACATTTGCTTTATGGATTTTTGGCAGACCATAGAATCGGGCTAGAGCGGTGTCAGTTGCCTTCATTTGGTGCCATTCATTCTCCGTGATCACATTTTTATGTCGGTATTCTCTAAGCGGTTTACTCAGCCGATCTGCCACTGCTTTGGCTTGTGACTTCTGTGCTGGTCTGTAAAATTCTCTGTCATCAAGAAGGGCTTTAGCTTTTTCATTATAGTCTTCTCTATTCATCACGACGGTTGATCGTCCCTTGTCAGCAGGTAGAATGATAATGCTGTCGTCCCTCCTCAGTTCCCTCATAGCCTTTAACTCACTCTGCGAAATACACTTGGTTGGTCTGTGTGTCATCAGCAAGGAGGTAGCACGCCGTCGGACGGAGTGTTTCAAGTAGTCGGATGTGTCACTTCTCACAAGCATAGCTACCAGGGCTGCAATGAAGTCGACAGGATCGGCATCTGCAGTGTTGAAACACGTTTCATGCTGCAACACTCGTAGTTGCTGCTCTGTTAGCTGCTTAGACGAGAGGTTGTGGACCAAGTTTGAGCTTTCTGTGCCTGGTGGTTTTAGCTTAGTCAGTTTCCGTTCCAAAACTTCTCTCTTCTTGGCTTGCCTGTGGTGTGCCAGAGCAGAGATCGTCTTCCCAAGATCTGCGGCGATAGAATCGCCGAGAGTGTGGACACACTGCCTTCTTTTCTCCTCGATCTCAGCCTTGTACTTCTGCAAACGCCGGTGACAGTCGTCGATCAGAACTCTTGTCATCTGTTTGACAAACCGCCTCACAACTTCTCTTCCCATGGCCGTATTAACGGGAGCTTTATATCTCAGGCATCGTGGGGTTAGTTCGTCTTGGAGACATCGGTACAGAAAACGTAGCTGCTCGCCGTAGCTGCCCACGCCGGAAACAAAACAGGCCGAGAATTGATTGAAGCCTGGGCCTCGGATGAGAACTCGGTCAATCGATTTATCGATCTGGCGCCGGCGCACAGAGCCCTTCGTAGTCACCTCCAGTCATGCGACGTCGGTCGATGATTGGGTCTACGTGCCTTATTACGGCCGCTTGTCCTGTTTCTGCCACTACCTCTGACGATGGACTCCTGTACGAGTCTGAAAGCTCAGGATAATAAACGAATTGTTCCGGTGCTCGACTCTTCTTCTTCTTCAAATATGTATACACCTGGAACTCGAAATTTCGCCTTCGTATGAGCTCCTTTTCAGACGACACCTCTGTTCCTCAGTGCAGCTGGCTGGCAGTCAAGCCAGACAATTCTGGCGGGGCAACGAAACCTACCGGAAAAGCTGGTTCCCTAGGCTGCCAAAACCTTGCATCTCAGCTTTCACATTCACGACTTCCTGTCATTCCCCTCTGCCTTCTGTGGTTCTGTGGCTGTCTGCTCGGCTCGACGTGGCAACAGCGACCAACCCCTTTGTTAGTTCTCTGTTTACACCACGTGTGACTCAGTCTTCGCCTCGTCAACACTAACGCTCATTAGTATTTTTATTTTTAACGATTAATCGCAGCCGGACAAAGCCCTGGCGAACACAAAAACCTCACACCGGAGGTGACATTAACGATTGGCAATCAATTAGGGTGAAAAATGTCCTCGGCGTCGTCTGACCTGCTCGTACGCTACCTTGCTGCAGTAACAGTTGTTCAGTTAACTGTCTCTCTCAGTTTTAATTCAGAAATCTTCTCGTTGTCGACCATCTTGCTTCGACAGCTCCAAGCGATTTCGCTTGATTTGACTGCGTACAGTCTATGGCCAGCGTTTATCAGCTACGAAAATTTCATTTGATGGACATTTATTTCGTACCCTCACCTATCATTGTAACAATTGATTCGCTGTCACCCGAGTAAACAACAAGGGTTCCCCATTTATTTTAGAAAAATGGCGCATTTATCGCTGATGGCTGTAGATGTAGGGATCTCAAAGCTTACTCCCCTGGCCGTTATTAAAGTAAACTAAAGGAAGATAGGTCTACATAATCAGAGAAGGCAAACATATTTGGGATTTTCTCAAAAGAGTTCCCGAAAATAATCTAGTTAAGACTTTTTCCATGGTGATCTCTGTTCGTCGACTCAGTTAAGGGATAGATCCAAACAGGAACGCAGCTGGCAGACAATTATTTGACTCCCAGAATCCGGATCATCTGCAGTCAAAATAACGAGTAACGGTGAGTACTAGAATAGACCAACAGCGCAGGAGGGGCGTTCGTCGATCAGGTCACGGGACATGCTCGTCTCGCTGCTTAGCGGATCATAATGTGGAGTACTCACAGGCGATCGAAATCGGCCAGTAATGATGCAGGAACGAAAATCGACAAAGGCGAGAAGGAACAGGATGGTCATTTCTGGCTCATTGGTCGTAGTCAGTTAACCATACTCAACCCCACAATTGCTTGACCTGGAATCTGAACTCGGATTATTTGGTCGTTGAGGGCTGAGCCACGGGCACGCTCTCCTGTCGGTTATGATCGAGAATATTCAGTATCGTAGGATGGGTGTTCACCAATCAGGTCACGTGATGTCCTCCGGCCGTTGCGTCTAGGAGCACAACGTAGGGCCTTCGTGGGCAATCGAAGGCGACTAGTAACGCTCAATAGCCAAAGAGCGTGGGTTATGATTCCAAGTTAAGCCAACCTGGGATCGGGTATAGCTGGCTGAAGACAACCGGTGAGCCGGAACTGGCCGTCCTGGTCTCGTCTGTTTTTGTTGGTTTTCCTTCCAGGTCAGCATCGTTAAACGTTTCTCGAGAACCACTTATGCACCAACAAATCTCGGTAGCGAGATCGCAGACCATCAGAAAGCGACTCCACTGTTTCTGGGTGTTACGTCAGACCTCATTGGTTTTGTGCCGAAAACGATTTTGGGTGCAGCTGTAAAAAAAGTTTAAGAATCTGAAAATAGTATTCAGTGACCCACCAAACTCGACTGGACTGATGGCGTTACGGTTACTTTCATACGCTTATTTGTAGCTGCATTTGGTCAGATCAACACACTTTCCCCTTGGAACTATGTGCACACAAACGCTGGAACGGTCACTGCCTCCTCACAATGAAATCCAGCGATGACTCCGAGAGATGACCTCCGGTTGCAGACTGCCGACCTTAAGTGGTCAAAATAAGTATATTTACGACACGAATAATTTAAGGACGAAACTCGACTTTTCTTCGGTATTTATGGGAGGCACTTTTCAGCAGCACGAAGCTCCCTAAAACAGGAGGTGAATCAATAATCATGAGTGAACACTTTCCTTTGGAGTAATAATGCAGACCGCCCGCTCTTCCGCCGTTAATACCGACACAACAGGCAGAAGGTCGGCAGAAAACTTAACGTTCCTGTTTCATAAAGTGCAAGGTCACTGGTCGTGCACGGCATTTCAAAAAGTAGATGTTAAAACTTCTGCCTGTGGAAGAAGTCTTTGGAGGTCGTCGGAGGACTTTTAGTCGATGATTCTGTGTGTGCACTCCCTACTTTGTTCGAAAATCCAATATGCCTCTATCTTCGAATCTTCAGGAGCATTCACTAAAATTTGAACATCGCTAGTCTAGTAACTTTGCTTTCTAACTCACGGCACAACACGGTTTCACACCCTTAGAAATATCATGCCTCGAGGTGACTATCGTGTTCTCAGATGCCGGAACTGTCAGACACTTGCAAACAACATGCGCCGTTAGGTACCCCTTGTTTTTAACTTGGAGGCAGGGGGGGGGAACGATTCATAGGGGGATGGTAGAAGTTGAGGATTTCAGTAAATAGCCATTCACAAAGTTGATTTAGCGTTCACATTTATGAACTGTTCAAGAACACTGTGAGGGCATCAATGTAATCCGCGGCTATCGGCGTGTACGAGATTACAAGACAAAGGTTGGAAGCAAGTGAATAGACGGATAGCAGTGAGAATATGGTTAGTACTTACGATTTATGCCTAGGACATTTCGACATGTTAACATGTCGCCTAGAGGTATCTACTGATTTCTAAACTAGAAAAGAAAATAAACTACGGCATCATTGGTTTTAATAGAAACTTTAATTAATTTTTTTCAACAGATGCACATCAATATTATTAGCTGAAATACCAATTTCTGACGCGAGTCAGATCACATACTACATCAAAGATCAAATCCTGCATTCGTAAAGCAAGCCAGAGAGCTAAGTACCAGGCAGAGCAGAGATCATCTAGCCACGGGATACAGATCTTGGTACAGGCTAAAATTTCCATAAGCAATATACTGGATGTTGGTTTTCGCGTATTTTCCGGTGCATTATTTCCATGAAAGCGAGATTGAATCATTTTTCAACACTGATATGCTGAGGGGCTCAAAAGTGAACAGTTCTTTTTAAAACTTCCATCCTAAGTAATTTTTCTTGTAGCATTTCCCTTGACCTATCGCCCACGCGCCCACGTTTAATTTGTCCTGTGTGGGCGGAGTGGGTAATCAGTCGTTTCTGTCTGTGAAAGTTATCTGGAACTGCCTCCCGCGCAGAGTACACTTCGACGGACGTTGGAGTGTCCAAAAGCCATTCAGGGGATCACAGATGACAGGTTTACGAGGTAGGGTAAACGCGGGGATAAAATCAAGACAACAGGGCATAGCAAACTGCTACGCTGATGACGGCCCGAAAGGACGGGTTTGCCTAACTACTGCCTACCCGACGATGTGAGCTGAATTGCTAAATCGAGAACCGACCCTCGATATTAGAGTCTGGAATGTGTGAACGCTCCTGGACAATAGTATCCAAAGCTTGACGGCACGCAGTCTTAATCAGTACAAAGTCGATGTTTGATGACTGGTCGATGCCCAAATTCCCGTCTCAGACGCCCCATATATAAAGACCCCGTATACCAACTCCAAATTCACCATAGTGACCCTCGCGACTCCGCATCGCTTGCGTGCTTCATGATTAGGTCGTGGACATCTTGAGTACCAACTTTATCCACCTACTAGATTTTCTTATCATCGTTCTTATTAAGGGTTCCTGAGATACGAACTGCTAGTTCGTGAGAACAGCATTATTAACACCAACCCTTCTACCAATGCCCTCTCACAGAAAGAGATGCATGCACTAATTACGCAAAAGGCAGTCAATAACTGGCTGGAGGGTCACTTTGCGAACGTCC